ACTCCCAGCTGTGCTCTCCTTCTGTGTCTCATTCCTGTATTTAAGCCCGGTGTTTCTCTTTGTCAGTGTTGTAGTCTCCCTCATGGCTGTGTTTCTCTGTGTGTCAGTTTGTCCATGTCCCAGTTGATCCATGTCCCAGTTTATCCATGTCCCAGTTTAGTTTGATGTTTTTCATGCCATTGTGCAATAAAGCAGCTTTTTGAGTTTAATTCCTGTGTGGTGAGTTTTGGGTTTGGGTCCTTCTCCTGCCTGCACACCGCCCAAACATGACATGGCTCTTTTCTTTTCCCTCTTTTTAAAAAACATTAACACATAAATGAGAGTGTTTTGAAATAAGTCAAGAAACAAACTGTCAGATTGTCCTTTATTAAATGTATCTGTGTATGTATTCTGCCATGTTTAGTGTGTTTAAAGATTTCAAAAAAGGTTACATGTTTGCAGGAAACAGGAAGTAGGTTAAATAGCACATATTCAAATAACACATTCAACACACAAGCAATAAAAACTAAAAATTTACATTTTCTATTGATTTTAACTCGAAGTGCTGAATTAGTTATGTTGGTAGTTCAGTTCACTTCAATCTGTATCGCGCCAAAGGAAATCAAATGATGGTGTTTTTAAGGCGCTTCATACTGTAAGGAAACAACTTTACAGTGTATTACTGTGAGTTTGTTACCCTACAGTATTAAAAGAAAACCCACCAGACGAACCCCTCTGAGCAAGCACTAGGCGACAGTGGGAAGGAAAAACTCCCTTTTAATAGGAAGAAACCCCCAGCAGAACCAGGCTCAGGGATGGGCGGGGCCATCTGCTGCGACCTGTCAGGGTTTTCAGAAATGACTCGATTAAAGAGCTATTATCATTTATAACCAGCCAATTTAAAGTCTCTAATTAGCTTTATAAACATGTTTTGAGTCTATATCAAGATCTCCCTGCATTACAGAAACCTTATTTCGTTTCCTGGTGAACATTCGGCCTGTAAATGCGAAAAAACAATGTATGCGAGTTTTTAGATAGTTTGGCTGCCTCGTCTATGAAAATGTTACGATTGTGATGTTGTGGTCTGGACAATCCAATTCCATGAATTCCAGAATGTTTTTTGCATGTTTCCACCTTTTACAGAGGGCTTTGAAAACCTTGTGGAAGTTTTTAACTTCTCAAAGGGGATTTTATAAGATTCATCCGTGAGTTCAGCACAGATTTGGGTTGTTGGTGATGGCAGAAACTATCTCCTGACTAATAACCTGGCCTGATTTTTTTACAACCCGCATAACAAGTTCTTCCAGACAGTTTCCCACCAGAAATCTGTATTTTTGCAGTTCTAGTTGATAGATATTAAATTGGTTAACCCTTTCTTTCTTCACAATGACTGATCCCCCATTTTTGATGTTTTCTGCTGTGACTTCTGTAGAGGTTGCTGTGTCATCACTGCTGACAGGGTCTGGATTACTCGAGGCTGTCTTGTTGTCTTCTTTTGCTTTAGGGTGGATATTTATGGGAATCAGGCTCCAATCGTTAAAGCAAGGTAATTTCTTAATTTGTTCATGTTTTTGGGGCATATGTCCCTTGCAGTGACAAGTTTTAGCAGGGAGGGCCACTGATTTATGGGGAGTTGTTTCCTGGGCAGGCCTCAGTGCTACACCTACACTCGTGTCGTCACTGCTGACATTGTCTGGATTACTCGTGGCTGTATTATCATTCATTATGTTTGAATTTGTATTTGTTAGTTGAGAATTTACAGTCACTTTGTTGAAGATGGGGTTTGAACTTCTGTTCATAGCTATATATATATATATATATATAGCTATATATGCTCTTCTAAAGGCGTTTTGCTTCGCCTATATGAGATTATAGGCTCCGCCCTCTCTTTTCAGTTTACCACATCCATTCTGTGACGTCACCCTGTATTGTCAATGATTAGTTCATTACCATTACCTCTGGAGAACTTCAAGACATGTTGAGGAGGTCATTTATGCCTTTAAATCAGCTGTGATGGATCGAGGACACATCTGGAGGCCTGGAGTTCGACACCCTTGGACTAAACCATTATATTTCTGTCAGGGGAGTTTTCCTAATTCTGCAATAAACCATTTTCCTAAATAAATATATACAAACATTTTAAACCACAACAATTAATCACCTTGTGTGCAAATGTTATTGATGCAACTCTATGCTTAAAGTGCGACGCTAAACAAAGTGCTAGCTAAAGTGCTTTTAATAAAGTGCAAGGATGCTCCTAAAGTGCTGTTATAATACAAATAATAAGGGAGTCCACTTCCTTATAGATATATACACACCTGTTCAAAAACACTTGAACCTGTTAAAGTGGCTGAGAGTGTAAATATAAGTTGAGTGAGTTGGTGGTACAGTAGATGGCAGCATACTCACAGAATGGACTTGGAAGGTCAGTATTTTGTAGTGATGGGAAAAAAGGGACCGATCGAGCTGGTTCTCAATACTTTGTTTGATTTGCTGTCTGTAAATGTGCTGCTATCAGGACTTTGAGTTATTACATAACAGATCAATCATAAAAGAGTGAGAAACAAAAGCAGAGCAGCTGTCTCTAAGTATGATCACCAAAGAGTTATGAAACTATTTTGTTTGTTTTTAAAACAAAGTTTTAAGATGCCGTTGTCTTACCAAGGCCTGTTGTTGTGAAGGCGACTGAGCCGTTAGTAGGTAACTTACAGCGGAGTCACAACAGGCCGCAGACACGTGACACATCAGCTCACATTGAGGTGTTTTCTTTACAAAAATGAAAGTTTACATCAGAGCCCCGCTCTCAGACACGGACATGGATGTAACTGTTTGTGAACATGGCCATGCTTTAAGCACATATTTGTTTAACCCGGGTTAAACAAATATGTGCTTAAAGTTTGAACAACATCTGGCGTCTGCGCGGATGTGACGTGGTTGGTTAACAGCCGTGCAGTAGCTCCTTCACTAACTAGTAGTGATGGGATTTCCGGCTCTTTTTAGAGATCCGGCTCTTTCGGTTCGGCTCACTAAAAAGAGCCGGCTCTTTCCTCTTTCGGCTCCGAACCGGCTCTTCAGGTTGTTTTGTTGCTTTAATTATTTAATCATTAACAATAATATAAAATTATGCAGAAAAGGAATTACTAATGTAAAAAAAGTGGTTTTATTTATATATGTTTATATATGGCCCCTAGAGACAAACTCCAAAACACATTTCTAGCATGAACTGAACTTCCAAAACAGAGCTACCCAGATCACTTACATTACACAATTGAAAGCATATGTGTATTGTTTGTGTATTTATAGACAAGCACTCATATTTATTCAAATAATTTTTAAAAAATTCATTTACCTGTTACTACCACACACCAAATCCGGTTGTTGATACTTCCTGGCTTGTGTAGCCACTAGGTAACAAAAGCTCAACACTGCGCCCTAGCATCCTGAGCACTTCTGTTGTCTTTTGTACGTGATTCTGAGTTTTTATGCGTTTTGGAGTTTGTACGTGCTTTGTCTCTAAGGGCCACCATAAATATACTTTATTTATTCACTCCACATAAAATGTAATAAATAAATCATATAATACAAAGAACAACTATTTACATTTTAAACTTTTAACTATTTAAATTTTCAGCTTTTTCCTTTTAAACAAATTTAAAGTGAAACAACACAAAACACTGCAAACCACAACACAATTAAATATAAATTAAAATATTAAAACAAAAAGAAGATGCACATTCTCTGTCATATGGGCCTGCATGATTTCTGAATCCTTTATCATCTGCAACTAAAAATAGTGGATGATTACTATACCTTTCTAATGTGACGTTGTTGTCCCTCGCTCTCTTTCTCTCCCTCTGGCTCTGTTCCTGTGCTACTGCGAGTGTAACTAACGCCCCTCCCCCCTCTGCCCAGCGCAAAGTACAGGCCGCGCGTGCGGAGTTTAGCGGAAAAAAGGGCGAGAGAGAGGGTGAGAGAAAGAAAAAAAAAAACAACTCACGGATCGCGTCGTTCACTTCAAAGAGTCGGCTCTAAGAGCCATTTCGTTCGCGAACGACCCATCACTGCTCACTAGTGACGGAATCGATAACTCTGTTTACGGGGATCACGTTTGTGTTTTGATCACGTGTGTGTTGCCCCTGACAACACAAAACAATGCCCTGCCCCTGCTGAGGCCTGATTTACGTTAACAGCGAGGATGCAGAGAAGCATAAGAGTTTCTGACAGGACAGGCTCCTCCACAGTCCTCGTGGGCTTATCTCCCTCTGAGTTATGACCCCGTCACTAGTTAACAAACATAAACTAACCAATCACGTGACGCCAGGTTCCGACAGAAGATGGCGCTAAACATGACGCTTAACCCGAGCGTCACATCTGTGTCAGTGTTTGTATATGTAAAGTTTGATGTTTAAGCTGGGGAGGCCCGTCTGTGCCGTGTAACTCTAATAATTACTCGCCACAGTCACAGGAAGGATTTTCTTCCACAGCCTCCTGCAGTGTTTTAAATGTCTCTGCAACTGCAAATGTAAAATCTCTGCTCTGGGTGCACCGTGTCTACAAATGCGGACACATTAGGTGCTTTTTAATCTACCTCGTGAAAAGAAGAAAAAATGGGGGAAGGGTGATGGAGGAAAAAGCGCGTACCCCTCTCCGCCTGTATCACACCACCCTCTCTCACAGCATCAGCAGCGTCTGACGGCTGCATCCTTCAGCTGCTCGTCCGTCTATTCCTCGGCTCCAGCTGATTTCGATAACAGGAGCGGTTTGTGTCTGCAGCCGAGCATCGCTGTTTGTTCCAGAACAATCAAATAAAAAGCAGCAGCATGGATATGATGGGCAACAAGCAGCGGCGGGCGCTGAATATCAAAGCCCTGCTGAGGAGGAACTGGCTTCTGATGTCTACGATTGTATCGGTGGTGCTCGGTACGTGCAAGCCTCTCAATCTGTCGTCTGATTATTGCTTCTAATTGACTCCACTGCTGTTGTGCATGAGCTGTTTGGCTAAGCAGGGGGTGCATGCGTTTTAATTTGATAGACCGGAGGATGGTGCTTCACTGTGGTGACACAGACATCCATCTGTCTCCGTCAAACGTGACCAGACTGAGGTGACTGTGTGAGGCTGTCCACGCTGAGGCAGCACAGCACCGTGAAAAGACTTCTTTTCATCCTGAGCGCTTTGCTTCATATTAGCCTGCTGACCCAATTAAATGTGCATGTGTTAGCTAATATTAAACACATTTCCTGTGTCATTAATTACACACTGTGCAGTCTCAGGGTTGTGCTCAGTGCAGATTTAGGAGACGGACAGCTGAGCCTTTGTTATCAGCCTGACAGCAACTATCACATATATGAGGCAACATGAACATCCAGATAAAATAAACAGTATAATCATCCGTCTGCAGCAGCTGGATTCCCAACCAGGAAACGCAGATACTAAGATGTTATTAGGTCTCCTTTTGGACTCAACAGCTCCTGTATGGGAGCTAAGATGTGCTCTGCTTCAAGGCTCATCTCAAGATGGACTCAAACACAGGACTGGACTTAAAGGCAGATGTGTTACAGAGAGGTTTGATCACAGGTTGTGCAGTTTAGGAATACACGAGGTGAGACCAGGTAAGGCCAGAAGGACTGGACAGGTTTGCGACTGCAGCTTGTGATAGAAATGTTCATGAGAAATATGTTTGACAGATTTTTACAACAGTCTAAATGCCAGAAATCACTTTTAGGCACAACACCAGAATAGGAAGTTTAGGCAAAATGACAAAGTCAAGGGCGATACGTTTGACTAAGGCCGTCTGGAAGAAGGCAGAGGTCTTTGTAAAGCCACAGGTGGAGCATCTGGGGCGCAGACAGAGCTGACACGTATTCACACACATCTTTGACCTGAAAGAGGACGAAAAATTAAACGTTATGATGATGAAAGTCGTTGCAATTCTGTATCCGTTTAGATGACAAAGTATCAACTGAAATGTCCTGATTGGATGTGCCTGTTTCATATGTAAACCAGCACAAGTGTTTGTTCAGTGATTTGTGCTCTTTGGAAAGTTTTCTTTCAGGTGATTTTACTGTGTTTGCTCTTGCAGGGATCAGTCTGGGTGTTGTGGTCAGAGAGTACGCCTCCCTGTCACATCTCTACAAGCAGTACTTTGGCTTCCCCGGAGAGATCCTGATGCGAATGCTGAAGCTGGTCATTCTTCCTCTGATCATTTCAAGCATGATAACAGGTAACAGAGCCTGTGCAGTTCGTCCCATCCAGGTAACTCTGAGGTTAACCCCGAGCTCTCTGTACTACAAAGCTGGTTCCCTTCTTAACCAGAACCCTCAAACCGTCTGCAGACGAAGGAATAAAAGTAAAGCATGTCTGAAGTGTAGCATAGAGTCTCTGCTGGGCTGCATGTTTTATATGCAGCTTGCTGAGCCATATCTAAGAAGCTTGGAAGGAGCAGCTGTAGATCATTTCCTCAGGGATTAGTAAAGTATTCGGATACTTTCAGTCCTCTTTCAAACGCTGGCGTCCTCCAGATCTGATCGGGGTAAAGCTGCTTCTGTTTCCTCGGTAACCGTCCTGCTGTAGTCCGGTTGTCGGTGTGCAAGTGTAGAGAGAGACCACATCAAACGACACAATGGGTTCATCTGGATCCGCTGTTTCTGGACCTCGGTGGAGTTTTTGATGTGAGTGTGTTCCCCACAAGGGCAGCTAGGATGGTGCTGCTAACAGTGGGTCTGAGTGGGGCTGCTTCTTTGTGGAAGCAGCGCCCCCGGGGTACAGACGGGGGCACGTAGGGCGGTAACTGATGACTTTGTTGTTGTGTAGTTGTCTGTGGGGTTGTCGAGAGGAGTGTAGTAAGACGGTGATGTTGGGCTCTGTGCTCAGGGATGTGACAGCCTGCGTTTCCTGTATTATGAGGTCAGACTGGAGAGGGTGGCTGAAACCTTCAGGCTGTGATAAGACCCACTGTGGGCAGCTGTTGTGGAGAAACCCAGTCCATGCTGCTCATGGCTGTGGTGTCTTCCTGTTCTTGTCTGTGTCTGGAAATCAACTTCAAATGATAAGTTTTAGTTTGCAGTGTATAAATTTGTGAGGTTGTCTTTCCTTCTTCCTATGTTCTATGTTCCTTCATCCTTTCACTTAGAGGTTGTCTCTGTGCTCTCCGTAACATAAACTGCTCTGTGTCCTCTGACTGTGAATCCACGGCACAGACTCTTGGGAACACGTCTGCTGTGTCTGCATCTTAAGCGCAGGTGGTGTCTATAATCTGCTGGTTGATTCATTGTGTCACAGTCCTGAGTGGGTGATCCAGTGTTTTGGTTTTTATGTCATTGATCTTTGTTTTTATCTTTGGTTTTACTGCTAGTGTCGTGTTTCTGTTTTGTATTCCTGGTTCTTAGGTTTTGGTCCTTGTACTCGGTGTTCTCTGTGTTTCCTGTTTTACTTTGAAGGTCCATGTCTTGTATTTGTTTCCTTCCTCCCTGTCTTGTCATGTTTAATTGGGTTCAGCTGTGTCTCCCTCTTCTGTTACCTTGTGTGTATATTTAGAGTTCCTATAAAGGCTGACTATCATGAATTGTGTTGCATCTTCACACACTGCTTAAAGAAGTCCCGTTGGAGGAGGAATGGCTTATTTGAAGAGTTTCATAACCGCACCGGTAGCCTCTGACAGGACGTTTGTCACTGCAGTGTCTGCTGCTGCTGACTGTAATATGGGGGGTTTCCATGGTAACTTCAGTAATCACTTCCTCCAAAGTCTCACCATTAATAACTGTTACACTGATCAGCCTGTCTGTATTAATGGGGACGTACCTCAGACCTGTACGCTGGCAATAATTAAACAAGTACTTTTGGGAGACACGCCCTCTGTTTGGATGAAGGTTATAGTTGGGGTGGGATCAGGTGACGCTGCAGGCTGCTGGGGACATGATGCCTTCACTGTGTTTATACACCACTCTGCATTTAATCATTGGTTATTATTCATTTTGGCTCTTTCACAGCACGTCTTTGTCCTGTCCTCCCCTAACCCCCAACCAATCACAGCAGATGGCCCCGCCCCTCCCTGAGCCTGGTTCTCCTGAAGGTTTCTTTCTGTTAAAAGGGAGTTTTTCTTTCCCACGGTCACCAAAGTGCTGCTCATGCCTCTGTATTATTGCAGTGCCTTTACACTACAGTACAAAGCACCCTGAGGTGACTGTGGCTGTGATTTGACATGTAAATAAAACTGAATTGAATTTTCCACTTGTAGTAAAAAGGTTCAGTCTCCTCAGTCAGAAACCCTGCTGACTGCAGCAGAACGAGTCCTCTGACTGATCTGTGTTCGCAGCGTCATATCAGTGGATGAACAAATAGCTCAGTCTTGTAGCTCATACGTGAAATGAATGAAGACAAAACATTTCTCAGTTACGTTCGATCGATTTTGCCTCTGAAACAGTGATTTCAGCTGAGCACAGCTTCTTTATGACACTTTGCATCTTCAAATATTGTTCCACTGTTCGTTAGTTACTGAGCTGCCTGTTGTTGTTTCTAGATTTTCCTCATGCATTTCTCCCGAGGTTTGTCACCTGTGTACCTTCTTTTGGACTTTGTAAGTTAATAGATGTCACTGACAGGATTGGTGTTCGGGTACCTGCTGGTTGTCCTGGTTGTGTGTCCTCCCTGTGAAGTCTTTTGTCCCCAGTTGCCTGTTTCCCAGTATGTCTGTCTGGTTTCTCTCTCCCTCGTTCTGTGATGGAGAGTTGGTCAGAGTTGTAATTTAGTTCTAGTTGTAGAGTTTCATTTGTTTCCTCGATGTTTCTTGTCTCATGACCAGGGCGGGGAGAGGAGCCTGGGTGCAAATTAGGGAACAAAACATTTGCAAACATCAGGGACAGCTCCGAGGTTCTGCCCAGGAACCTGCAGAAAGGCAACAGTTCAGGGGGGTCGGGTGGCTGTGTGGGCTCAGCAGAGATGGAGACTCTAAGGGGCCATGAAGGTGTCCAGGTGCCACGTTTGGATCCTGCTAAGAGCAGCAGATGGAGGATGCAGAACTCTGAAGGCTCAGCAGGTGAGCAGCTGTGAAGATCAGACCCTCTGACTCTCGCTCATGTGCAAGCAGTGAGAAATGACTCAGGTTCAGGCAGGTTTGGACCCTCTGACTGCCTTTCTACCAACCAGAGCTGCACTCACCCTGCTGCAGCTGCTGCTGCTGTAGTGGAGAAGTGTTTGGTCTCAGTGTCTGCTGACCTGAAAAACATATCAAACCAAATAACTGAAAGGAAACAGATTCCAAAACGGGATATATGTGGAAAATACTCACGCAGGCAAACAGTATGAGATGACAGAGAAGTGTGGGGAGGCCAAGACTATGAACAAGATGACCGGGGAAGCTGGGAAACACCAGGGGAGCACATCTGAAAGCAGTCACAGAAGACGAGGCAAGGGAATCAAATCAATTAGATTTGAGATTTTTGGATGTTTTGGGCGAATGTGTGGAAGGATAAAAACTGTAAAATAACAAATTGTACGGAATCGAATGTTTACAACTACAGAAGGCGTTGAGACAAAATGATTCCCAACAGATCCAAAATGGATCAAATCTAAAAACAGTTTGCCAGCCGATAGAATAAAATCTATAAAACTTGATTGCTCTGTGGATATTAATGCACCTGTCAGACCAGTCAGATCCTCTGAGACATTCTTCTATGTTATCTTAACAATCACTATTTAAATAACTCAAATGTGTAAAGAAAAAAAAGAAGTGTTGGAGGTAGTTGGTAAGAGATGACAGGATGACCCCAACCTCAGCAGCAGGACCGCTCTCAGCATCCACCAAGTGTGTTTGAACTGTGTCTTCACATACAGGGTCAGTCCTACAGAAGGAACGTGGGTTCCCAGTTTCATCAGCTGTGGCCAGTTTTTACATGGAGTAACTGAAAAAGATCTGTTGTCCTATCGTAGAACAGCAGAAAGCCGATGTAGAGAACACCTGGGTGAAAGTCAGATGTCAGCATGTTTATGGCTGTGTAGGTTCAGGGTGCACTACTATTCACTGATCACATTAACAAACACGTGAAGTTCACGAGGGAGGATATCAAAATAACTGCTTTCTTAGACTAAATGTTTCATCAGGGATGGGCGACGTTTGAAAGTCAATATTTATCAAGAGCCAACAAATTTGGATCAGTACTGAAGGTTTGACTCCCATCATCCACTGGAGCACAAACTGGGCGTCATCAGGACGCAACACAGAGCGAACACCATCCCCACTGACACAGGGAGGCCCTGAGTAAATGTGGTTATCACAGCTGGACGTTTGTCACAGCTGGACGCTCCTAAAGAAAGCTGCAGCCGATCCAGGAGAGAAGAACAACCTCTGCCAAAGGTCTTTGTCTTAGTCACCCCGTCACTGTGATTCTGGTAAGAACTGAACCAGCTTTGTACCCCTGAGTTAACCCTGCAGTTGCCTGGACCAGCCTGGACCCTGATCTGTGGGCTGAGCCTGTGTTTAAATACAGTGAATGTGTTTCTGACCAACAGGTGTTGCAGCCTTAGACTCCGAGGTGTC